GCATCCCTAATAGGCACAAAAAACAGCCTTAAAAAGAGGAAAATATATAAGAATCTTGGTGAGAAAGTATCAAACACCCAAACATGAGGGACTCCCAGCTTAAGTGTTCTCAAAGGCCTCACTTGGTCTCACATCACTGATTCCTGAACAAGCCACTTGTCTATACACACAACCACTGTGCACTTTCATTTTCATATTGATGCAAACTGAAGGAGACCCTCACATCAAGCTCCATGGAGCTTTCATACACTCTGAATTGAGCACTACAGGAAACAGATGCCCTCAGTCTTCTGTGTTCGTACGGCTGATGATACAGCCTTTAACAAGTGAAGCTAAAGCTAGTGCACTGCTCCAGATTGGTGCTCTCAAGGATTCCATTTCTAAAAGGACCACTCAAGTGATGTGGCAAGTCAATTTGACAATCATGAAAGGTAGCACTAACAAGTGCAGGCTCCTGATAAAGAAAGCCTGCAGTCAGAGACTCCAGTGAAGTGAGGGAATGGGGAACTGTTTCTAAAGAAAACCAGCCAACCATGAAATGCCGAGCCTTTACACTTGAGAGATGGTAGACTGTATTAGCAGGACAGAAATACGGCAACAGAAATCAGCACTTGGGAGTTGCATTCTCTGATACCACAATTTCATCATGTGTAACAAAACTATCCAATCCAACACTTCCTTATTTGCTTTTAGGGATCTAACGTTGTGGTCCCGTTAGAATAATTAATGTTTTTATATTTTATCTCGTTTGAATGTGTCTGTTTTTGCATTAGGAGTTCCATTACAGTTATCTGGAGACTTTCCTGCTTCTGCTACCTTCTACAACAAGCTGAGAGAATTACTCGCCTCTTATTAGATTTCAGAAGAAACGCCTGATCCAGGGAGCAGCCTGGAAGAGAAATTAGCCAGGAGTTTATTGGCTCAGATACAAAAGGAGCAGATTGAAAAGGGGGTGAGATGATTGAACTCTCCTTTATTCCGTGGTGTGTCCTTTGTGCCAGGCTGCACAGTCACTTTGATGCTATCTCTGTCATTTGAGCCACACATTGCGCCTTGGGTGCCTCTCACAAAAGAATATGATGCACCACCAGAGGCCTTGAATGGGCTTTCCATCTATTTTCTGAAAGAGTGGAAGTCTCCTTTTGATTCACCTCGAGTGTCACTCATTATCAAAGTATGTACATCATCACGGTAAAAGCCTCAATAATCTATTTAATATTGTGATAGAATACAACTGGTCAAGTGAATTGGACCTAATAAAAATGAATTGGCTTTAGGAAAATGAGGCTACACTGAGAATGGATACTTTATCCCATAAAAAACTGCTTATTTATTTCTAATTTTTCTTGTACACATCACAAATCAGCATGTTTTTAGGCAATAATACAACAGTAAAAGTAGTTTCTGAAAATATGAGTGCGCTAAAACCAAATAACCCTAATGGGTAGAAAAGGTCGATTGTCGGTTGTGAAGGAACAGAGTGATAATGGAAGGAATGGTTGTACTTTGCCTACATATGAGAATAGAGGAGGCAGAGAGAAGGGGGTGGCGGAAATGGAGGAGGATGAAGAGCATCTTACAAGGCCGCCATTACTGGAGTAATTCACACACTGAGGAGCAAAAAAAAAAAAAAAAAAACCCCTGGGGGGGGGGTTGGATGGTTGAGGTCTGATCAGAACCTCCATTAGCACAAAAATAAGCTGCAAATGGAGCAGGGGAGCTGTGTGAGGAGAGGTGCAGGGCTAACTGTGCTGAAGGAACACACAGTGCTCTGACCTGATAGAACAAGACCCACTTCACAGCACTTCTGCCCAGACCAAACATGTCAAGAGGCTTGTGGACAAAATAACAAAAGCACCTGATGATCAGAGACTCTGCCTGTCCCAGTTACAAACACTCCTGCAGAAGGGAGTCAGCCTGAATGCCAGTTACCAGCATTTACCAGCTATGAAGCAAGGCTGACAATCAGCACTACATGAGCTTTCACAGAGATGCCACAGCAAAAAACCCTTCACAATTATTTAATATGACAAGTGGAGTGCAATAGAGAATCATAAAAACGTATGTTAAGTTGAATGTTTTCAAGTAGTAAATGGCTTATTTGCTTATTGTTAAGTGATCTGTTTAATTTATTTTTTAATTGTGCAGACTGAGTCAAGATTTCTACAATTGTTACTATTGGTTAAAAGGAAAAATCTGAATCCATGCCCTCTATGGTGAGGTGATCTGGTGGCGCTGGTTCACTATGGGGGAAGGGGGACCTTACTGGCATGGTTTGGTTCCACTGAACTCTTAAAAGGAAAGGTCACTACAATTCAGCACAAACTATGTGCGAGGGATTGTCTTTATCTGTTTCGAAGCCTTCCTATCTGATGGGAGTGGTCTCTGGGATGACAATGCCCCCATCTGTAGGGTGAACGGTTTCACTGAGTAGAAAACGTTGTGAATCAGAAGCTGTGACCTTCACAGTCGCCAGGTTTCAGCCCGGCTGAACACCTTTGGGAGATTTTGGATTAAGATGTTAGACAGCTTTGTTGGGTGTCTAGTTTCTGGATTGGAAATCTTAGAGTCGTGTCTCTACTTTTTGCAGATGACATGGTTCTCTTTCCTTCATCAAATTATGTCCCTCAGTGTGCACTGAGGCGGTTTGTGGAAGGGAAGCAGCTGAGCTGAGAGTCAGTATCTTCACGGAAACCAGTGGACTGCTCAGTCTATGTTGGAGTTGAGTTGCTGCCCCAAGCAACAATGTTTAAGTATCTCTGGATCTTGTTTGTGAATGATGGTTCAATGGAGCATGAGACAGACAAATGGACTGGGACAGCAACAGCAGTAATTCAGGTGTTGTTCCAGAACTTTGTGGTGAAGAGGTAGCAGAGTGAGAAGCAGTCTACATTCCAAACCTCACCTTTGGTCATGAGCTCTGAGTAGTGACCGCAAGAGTGACATAGTAAATGCAAGTGGCTGAATGGGTTTCCTCTGTAGGGTGGCTGTTCCTAGCCTTAGACATAGGGTGAGATAGGGGAAGGAGCTCAAAGCAGTGTTGCTGTTTCCTTGCATCCAAAGGAGCCATTTGATGTGGTTTGGGCATCTGATTAGAATGCCTTTCTTTAGAGGAAACTGGGAGAAAAAACAGAACTTCCTAAAGGGATTACATATCTCATCTGGCCGGGGAACACCTTGGTATCCCTAGGAGAAGCTGAAAAATGTTGCTGGGGAAAGGAAACATCCAGCTTAGACCCAACCCCGGATAAGCAGAAGAAAATGGATGGATGGATGTTGAACAGAACTCTCCACCACCATCATCAAGACACCAAATGAAGGAGAAAATACTGATGGCACATGGTAGCCCAACATCTTACAAAGACACTGTGTGTTGGTTTCTCCTTTAATTGCTCATCCATCTGTACATATTAGCATTCTTGCTGAGCTTAGATTTACTTTAAAGCTGCGGGTTTAAATTCTTTTTAATCTCTTTTAACCTTTTGAAATTATATCCTCACTCTTTATTTGTCATTTTTAAAGTTTGAATGTTTATTTGAATGTAGGAGTTTCACCTTTGCTTTTTTAATTCTGTATACACAGCAAGTGATTGTGAAAGAGAGTGAAGGATTCTCACTAGACCCGACTGTATAAATGAAGACTGAATTAAGTCAGTGACTAAAAAACATCTTGAGTACAGTGTCTTGATCTCTTGGACTGTGTGTGAAAATCTACAAAACATCTTCAAGGGGAAGATCTCTGCAATCAAACATGTTGCTGTGGGAAGTGCAGGATTGCAAGTAATACAGATTGTGTGTAACCAAGAAATTGCTAAATTGTGTGTTTTTTTTCCATATAGCGTACCCTTACTCAGTATATTAATTTATAATCCCTACTGTGCAATTCCATGACAAAATCCACAGGATTCTAGGTCAATCCCCTTCAAATGAATTTCATTTCATGGCTTAAGTCAAGCAGTGATTAAGCATTAGAGAATTCCTTCAGATTCTAGCACAGGTTGCGGTAAGAGAAGTAGCCCCTCCAAACCTCTGAGGTAATTAATGAAGAATAACAGGGCAATTCCTGGTGTGCGCTCGGAGGATTAGGAACATGAGGACAGCAGAGGGAAGAAGAGACAGTGAATCTGATGGATACTCTTGTCAGGGAGAGGGGCACTACTCCCAATGTTCTTGGTGCTGATTGATTTGAATGACTGGGAGAGGACAGAGTGGAGGAGTGAGGCTAGAGGCACTATCTGTGCAGGGTGAGGTCTTGTCACTCCCTTGGCTGTCTAGCTTGCCGAAGCCTAGTTTATTTTGCAGAAAGGTAGTCAATAACAGCAGGTGACTATGTGGTGAAAAAGAATGACTGCTCCTCAGATGTCCTGATCGAAAATACAGTGGCTCTGAATTCAGCATATGTGTGGTTCACACTGTGTTGAACACACATGTCACAAAATAACAGCATTCTCTGTTAACAGCATAATTTAGTTTGATAGACCAACAGAGGGAAAAGATGAACACTTTTTAATATAGTTTGTAATAGCACGAAGGCAGATCCCGCGTGACAGAGCTAAATATCTGCTCTTCCAGAATTATGTCATCTGATATAAATTTGTTTTCATATAAAATGAAAACTCTGAGGGCATTTAACCTGATGAATAGAAATCTGTATGCATGAAATTCTGCTTAATGGGATCCCTAACCTTCACTGAAATGCAATTATCCCGTTGCCAATGTGGTAAATATTTGAGGCACGATCAGAGCTTTATTGGAAATAGTGTCTACCTTGATGTGAAAATTGATGATTTTATAAACATCTGCATGTACATCTGACCTGGTTTGTTCATACAGATAAAATATATGTACACACACAGCACGGATGCAAACATTTTTTGGAGTGATTTATAATTCAATGTCATGCAGAGTGCATTTTGTGGTTTTCAATCCACAGCAGAACACAAGCGTTGTCGAACGTGGTTCACAGTACAGAAACAGAATAGAATAGAATAAGATGCTTACTGATGTGTACAGGTGGCCCTCCCCATTCATTGCGATGTATAACCCTGTCTTCACGGACTGAATGGCGACAACTCTGAGGCCCACAGGAATAAGGTTGAACAAAGCTGGAAAACACACATTTAAACAGGCAAACACAAACATACATAAAAAAAATATCACCCAACAGACCTCACTATTTAACTAAACATGGGGGGGGGATAAAAATGTTACAGTGCAATTCATCATCCAAATACGAGCCATCAGTAATTTTTCACAAAGAATAGATAACACAATTTTGCAATTAGGTGATCTCTGAAGATGAATTGCAGCACGCCTGGTGACTAAGCTAGCAAAGCCTTGGCTACCCGGTGGTACCTGAAAAGCAGCTGTAATTGGGGCCACCGCTGATGTGTGGCAGATTTAATAGCACCTTTGTTGTTGTAGCAGACTCCTTGGGCTGGGCAGGTAATGGTTGTTGTTTGTACTGGTGAGAAACAACAGGACTGGTCTGGCTGTGACATTCAGCATGTGTATATGGGAGGCAACATAATGACCTCTGCAGACCCTGTAAATAATTGGTATTGGCAGGTTTGGAGCCTTGAAGAGAGTCTGCAAAAGCAAAAAGTGGCACCATTCGGTTTTGGTGCATTCTGGTCAATTTAAAAACAAATCTAACGCGGAGCAGGCAGTGCCAAAACCTGTGTTTGATCTTGGAGGTGTATTGACATGATAGATCCCTTCTACACACTGTCTATAAAGCTTACTGTTTCGATAAGTCACCTTAGCCTATCAGATGTGACATATGCCACATCTCCTCATGCTGACAGGAGTAAGTGACAAAATCTGTAGTGTCAGCCTAGCGTTAGCACCAAGCACTGGAATCAAATTAACCACCTAGCCCAAAGCACTAGAGGAGCAGTGCCAGAACAAGCTAATAATACCTTGTTTCTCCCTGTTAGGCCTACTGTTTCCTGGTCCACTTTCCCTCTCAGAGAAGAGGACAAATCTGTGTGATCCCTTAGTTGCATTTTTACAAAGACACTTTTGCTCCCGAGGCTAAAAAAATGAGGGGAGTGTACTGACCTGAGGCTCAATGGTTCATTTTTTTTTTTTTGCACCAGAAGAATAAATGTAGGAAGCTATAGTCAAGGTTTTAAATAATAAAAGTTAGAAAATGCTGAGTTACATTTTCACTGTGTCAACTTTTTCAGGCACCTGTCAAATGTTTGATTTAGAAATCCAAAAAAAAAAAAAAAACCTGTCAAGGTACTCACAGGAATTACTGCTGTCATCCTTGGTCCCATCAAGAGAGCCATCGGGGTTCATTTGCAAGTAGTATCCCTGCCTGCAATATAACCTGGTCACTATACCCTTGAGCTGGGGATCTGCAGGAGGGAAGAAGAGAAAGAACAGGGAGAATAATTAGGACTGATGCAGAAAACCAAATGACCTTAAAGAGATTAACTACTTCCTTAAATATAGCACAGGACACCGTACAGTACCATGCTGTTTTCTGAGGGCCTTAACTGCAAAACACCATGAAACACAGCAGCAGAACTATTGTGACTCCTGTGTTGTATATATATATATATATATATATATAGGCAAATCCCAGAGCCAACTTTCTGGGCACATAAGCCCCATCTTGCTCAGAGATAGGCCATCCAATTATAGGCAGCAGAATTAATCTGTGGTTGTCTGACTCCCCATAATGAACCCAACAGCACCCTCTCTGGGTCCTCAGTGTGTAGGATGTGACAGTGTCTGCGCTCCGTCCCTTCTAGCTGACCCAACGGGGGAATTAGCCAAATATCCACTGTAAATAAATCACTGCTGCGATTAAACCGTCCAGAGCCAGCACGGCTCAACTTGTCATGCTATAAATTTAGACTGTATTTTGTGCAGTTTTATAATAACACAAAGAAAAGTGAATGTGAAAATGTAAAATTTAAAAGAAACTGAAAAGGACACATTTTAATAAAGCGGCATGTGGGTGCATGTTGGTGATGTCTCCTGGAAAATATTGCTTGTGCTCAAGCCGTGCGACAATATTTTTTCATCTGTGTGTGTGCGTGTGTGTGTGTGTGTGTGTCTGGGGTCATATAGCATCAACATTATCGTAGAGACAGCCATCACACCAGATTTCATTCTAAGAAAGCCCCGGGGAGGTGAACAATCAACTTCACCTGAACCTAAGCCGTGCTCCTTGCAAGGTACTGCATGTGTGTGTTTGCGTGTGTGCGTGTGTGTTTGTGTGGGTGAGGGGGCATGTGAAAGAGACAGAAAGAAAAAGAGAGAAAGCACGGCCACAGAGGAGAACTCAAGGGGTCTTGCTGAGGGCAGAGTCAGGCTTTTTTTCCATTGGCGTGCAGCTCAGGGCATTCTCCTCTGAAATGGTTCTGTCGGGTGATGGCATTAGGTAGCTCAGAGACCTTTCCCTGCTGCCTGAAAGGGAGAGAAAATGCCTCTCCTGCCGGTGCATCCGAGCAATACCGCTACGGCATTCAAACTGTGCTGCTTTGTTGCCTCACCAGAACAATAAAAAAAGGTGGCTAAAGCAGAATCTGACTGTCAGAGTGCCTCTGCTACGCGTGATGCAGGCTGACAGGACGGTGACAGGATCGCTCTGCTTTACAATAATACCAAGCCCAGTCAAAAGTGTTGCAGCCATTCAGCCAGAGACAGATGTCAGTGCAGACATCATCCTTCCTCTGTCTGCTGCGTTTCATACCTGATGAACTTAAGATATATTTGTCACATCTTTACTGCCCTAACCTCATTGCTCTTCAGTATGGAGGCTCATTTCTGCCAGTAAAAGAAATAATCTCATGACGAGTTAAAAAAAAAAAAAAACATTACGAGATAAAACGTCCAAATGTGTCAAATTCAACTTTGTATGTCATCATTTTGACGTATTGTGAGAGGTTTGTACATCATAATTACCTTTTCATCTTTTTTTTTTCTTTTGGTAAAATCTAACATCTACAGTTGGTCTATAAAATGTCTGAAAACATTTTTTAAAAACGTCCATCACAAGTCTCCTGAGCCCAGTGTGACACCTTTGAGTGTTTTCTTCAACAGTTCAAATTGCAATTATTCCATTTACAATGTTATAAAACCCTGCAGAAATGTAAGAAAATCTCACATAAGAGAAGCTAAAACCAAAAACCACTTGGAAATTTTGCTTAACAAATGACTCAAACAATTGGAAACTAATCATTTTTCGCAATTCAGTTGACATTTTGTGGGTTTACAGTAAAACCAAGAAAAATAAAGTGACAATTAGAAAGTAAAAGAACAGAGGACTAAAGTGAGCACATTTTAATAAGCCTGCAGTTCATGTGGGTGCACAATGGAATATCTCTGCTTGTGTTCAAGCTGTGCAACAACATTTTTTTATATTCTTCTTGCAGCAGACTACCTGATGAATCTACTAACTGTTCCAGCTCTTCTGTAGCTCATATATCAGAGGTTGAATCTATGTTGTATGAAAGAGAGAGTTCTCAAGCCACTGTGTAAGCCATTAAATTGGGGAAAACAAAAATTCAAACGTGCTTTTGCCTTTATTGTATCACTTTTTAAAAATCTCTTCTTTATGCCTGTTTGCTAGTCACTGTCACTGCAAAAAGCAATATTATTTCACTAATTTCAATGAGAAATTATGGTTTCAAGCACACAAGTACCCAGCAGTCAGACACCATACACTAAACCTTAAGACCACACCAATGTAATCTACTGTGGTACCAAAGGGAGATGGATGAGTTCTCATGCAGAAGGGAGGTCAGTGAACAACAGTCACATACACTCACAGTGCACTTTGTTGGAAAACACCACACCAATATCAGGCTGGGACTCCATTTGCTCTCAGAACAGCCTCGATTCTTCGTGGACCAGAAACACCGGAGTCGTACACACATTTTCACATGGATTTTTAATGAGTGCGCAATTCCCTTGAGCGAATACTTTTGCGCGGATACACAAAGCTGGCAAACCTGTGATCGATTAATGACTTTGACCAGCATTTAAACTTTGCGGGGGAGTGAGATTGATTCAGAGGACAGATCAGCGGGGAGCAATCGGTAATAATTAAAACTGCATAACTGGCGGCTGGCTATGCGGATGCCCGGTGTATGTGTGAGCCAGCGTACATGTGTACGAGGTGAACTTGGCTCCTCCATCATGCTATAAATCATGTGACGCTGGCTGTGTTCCCTGGGGCGAGCAAGCCAGCGTATCTCTCACACACACAGATTTCCCCTGCAGCTTCGATCTTTACCACTTCTGAGCAGCAGCTTTAAAGAGGGAGCTGAAAATCTGCAGAATTTCAGCTAATTTATCAAAATCGAATGAGGCTCAAAAGTAAGGGGAAAAAAAACAATAAAATGTGCAAAGTCCTACTCTGAGGACTGTCTGGATGAATATGTCAAGGATTCAATCATGTCTTCAAATTCCCAGCACATTAGTTATGACTGACAGTTTAACATTTTGTAATTTTAATAAAGCTGATAAGCCACTGATGCAACACAGGTTGAAGGTCAAACTCGCTCTTGCTCAATAAATGGATTCAATGTAATTTACTCTCTGACAAACCTAAAATCATGTATTATCCCTTGTTTTTGGAGACTTATTTTTGTGCATGTTTATAAAATGTTGAGCAAGTAGGTGCAGTTTAACATTGACAATGAATGTTGGAGGATAGAAAAGGTGTACGCAAAACTATAAAGCAAAGGTTCAGTGGTTTTACAGTGACACAGCATTTTCAGTTCTGTCAGACAAGCTTGATATGGTGCATACACTCTTTAAAATAGAGAGCTACTTTAAAAAAAAAAAAAGTCTTTGTGGTATTCCCTAAGTCAGGAGGGTCTTTCTTTTGTTACTCTGTTTTCTCTTTCTTGTCTGTCTTTCTGAATATTCTCCTTGTATAACAGCCCCAAATGCTGTTTATCACAGATGGAGCATCCAGCTTGGACTGTAGCTGGACTTTCCCAGCTGCACTAGTATTGTGTTTTTTTTGTTTTTTTTTTTACAACAAAAGCACTGTATGTTTCTACATGCTACTTCTTTGTTTCTAGGGAAACGGAGTGGTGGTTTGGCAGCAGCAGGGGGTTTCCTTGGAACACAACAAGCATCAGGACCATAAGATCTGAAATTGTGTTGTTCGGCAGCAGAAGTTCTCTCTACATATAAATTGAACTGTCACCAAAAGGTTGTAATTTTTTTTAAAGCGACCTCTCTGTAGCTCTCTCATTCCTTTTCTGTCTTATTTTCTGTTGTGTTGGTGTGCAGGCACATGTTCATCTCAGCAAGCAGAGCATGGAGTATAAGGACACACACACACACACACACTAGCACAGCTGCAGCAGCACTTGTAGACTGCTGTCAGCCCTGCCCTGCCTGACCCACTTTGGATGTTTCTGGAATAGAAGAAGGGCTTTTCCAACCTGCAAAAAGGAAAAACCCCTCTTTGTGACTTCTGTTGTCATATAAAAGCAGATCAAGCAAAGAGAAGTTTCAATGCTGTCAATCCTTTCTCACATTTCTCTTATATCAACGACATCTCTGACATCTCACCAATAACTCATCCGATACAGACAGCTCTGAAAAGCTGACTGATGACGCACTGCTGCGTCCTGTCATACTCCCGAATAAACAGGCGAGGTGCAGGAAATCATTCATCTCACTCAGATGGGGTTTCTAGATCACGTAAGCTAATCTAATGGTCTGATCTATGTAACATGATCTAATGATTTATGAATCTAATCTAGCGAGATAATTAGAGCCACAGCAGCTGAGATTATGGGCAAGCCCCCGGCTCACTTACTGGGTTTGAGTGTAATTGTATTTACAACTCGCATTTAATCCCTTAAAAATCTGGGTGATGGCTGGCTCTGCAGCTGCTATCAGAATGCACGGATGATTTAAAATTAAAGCTGATATTGCAGACTAAAAACCCAAACTGTGGCTGACGTATTCCTTGAGGAGTACAGGAAACCACATCTGTGCAGTCTAAAGAACACAACAGTAAACACTTCATTTTCTTCCCTACATTTTTAGATGCTCAACTGTAAAATCTTGAAAAATAAAGTGACATTTAAGGAGATGAGAATGAATGACTCAGGTTGTCGATAGCCCCGTTGAAGTTTATCTTGAATTTGGCCACAGTGTCTTCCCGCAAAACCACAATGTAAATCAGTGCCAATCAATGCAGCTCATAAGAATAGGTAATCTAGTGTCTCACTCACAAGATCGATACACAAATCCAAAGGGAATACTAACCTTAGGTCTCCTTTTTTTTTTTTTTTTAAAGACACCTCCACTCTCTCATCCTGACACATCTCAGTGGGATACTGAATGTGTCTTCAATATATAATCACAGTCTGGATGG